TGCTCCGACAAACAAATGGGTAACGGAATTGCAATGGAAATGGTGGATGGTGATAACAAATGGGAGAAATGACAGGTTGACGAGATAGCAAACGGGGGAGGGGTCGAACATTTTGGGAATTTTTTTTCGGGAGCAGAGGGACTCGGGCCGTTAAGACGTCTTAATTTAAGTCATTAGAGATGGAGGTGGGTTTTAGGATAAGACGTTTTTTGATGAGGGTGCACTGATAGAAAGGATTTATTACTGTTAACGAATGGATTTGGATGGAGACTGGGGTCTATTCGATCTCACCAAATGTTCATTCGTTAATAGTTAACAAATCATATTTGAGGAGCCTTGTTTGACTCGACTTTCACCTTTCAAGTGAACCATTCGGTAACTATTAACGAATATTTGGTCAGATTAACTGTAGCATTCGTTAATAGTTAATGAATCTCGTTTAGAATAAATTAAGCATTCTATCAGTGTGGGAGATGTCAAAATTATCAGTGAAAAAAGTCTTTCAAAGGGAGATTTACAAGTCGCAATTTGAGAATTGAAAATCTTCAGGCGATCCTTCTGAAAGGCAAGTTTGAAACGACCGATTCTGAAGTAAGACCCTAGAATGCCTGGAATGCATGTCTTTTTTTATTCTAAGCATTTAAACCTTACGGTTTATTCTCACAAACATTAATTTGTGCATAGGTAAATTCCTCACAAACATTAAGTTGTGCATAGAATAGATTTTAAGAAGTTACAACGGTTGAGATTTCTTGTACATTCAACTCAATAAATTTATAGCTCAAGTGGTTAATAAGTGGTTAGTGAGTTTAGTCTTTGAAATAACAAGAATTTAGAAATTCATCTGTGATAAGTATTACATGTTTATCTAGGGTAAATGCATGTCTTGGTTGCGACCCCAAGACTTCAATTTGAAGACACAAATGTCTTAGACAGGGGACAAGTGTCTTAATTTCAGACAATTTTTTTCACTGAGCTTTCGGTGACTCCTTTTTAACATAATAAGTACATGTTTCTGCGAAACGTGACCGCCGTGACCATGCACCGAGGCATAAACACGCGTACAGTGTCCGACTCTTGTTTCCATTGTTCTTAGGCCACGCGGGAATTTTTCATTCTCTTCCCCAGGTTCAGGAAAAAAAAAATAAAATAGTGTGTGTACTCGCGCAAACTCGTCCGACAATAGGTTCACTCGTGTTGCCTGTGTTGCAGCGTAACCGAGAAAAAAGAGTATACATGACGTATATGGTTTGCCATCAGCACTGGGGATGGAAGATAAAAGCGCGAGAGCTTTTCTGTTTTGAAGGGGGGGGGGGGCGGAAAGGAGAGGGACAAAAAGGTGGAATCACTAGTCTCCAACCCCCGAAAAACCATCGACGAAAGTGTCTGCACAAAAGTTTCGGATTTCAAAGCCCCTCTTTTTCATGAATTATTTCGGTTTATTTTCACGTGGGTAATGGTCACTGACTCACCGAATATTCAATTCTTCTGGAACGAACGAGATAAAATTCCGCGTGAAATTGCAATTCTACGCTATTAGTTCCGATTATAACGCGACTGATTAGCAAGAATGACCGTAATTTCTTTATTCTTTTTGAGAGACCAAGAATATATTATAACTATTGCGAATATCCCGGAAATGGAGTCGCTATGTTTATGCCATCGAATCATAAATGACCAGACGAAAAAAAATTAATCTCATTACTCCACCGCGCGTAATGTTCCGACTCCCAGCGGCGCATTTAATACAACTACCCCATCTGTTCATTTCCCGCATGAACCCCAAATAATCATCGCCATCATTCCCAAAAATTAAAATTCAACCGTCATAAACCACTCAATAAATGATCCCGTTCTCTCTCATTGCCCTGAGACTCTACTACGAGTATGGAATTATTAAATTATTATTTTATTCTTATTATTATGGAATTACACAGAGAGAAAAATTATTTCTACCGAAAAACTATATGTTCCCCTGAAGAGATTTTTTGTCGTGTCCAATCAATTTTCTTGCATTAATCCGTGCATTTAAAAATACTTGAAAAATTCATGTGAATTACTCGTCGCTAAAAATGTCATAATTCCCCTTGAAATTTCACGAATAGTTTTCTAACATTGGACAGTACTCAATTAATGACCTCCAATTTCCCAGCCATTTACCATAAAAACCAGTCAATCTCACCGCTAACATTCTCAACCACCACCCCAAATTTGGCATGAGCATTGATGTATCTTGCGACCGCGTAAACCCGTCGTTACCCCGAACTCGTCGTAACCTATCCGATACACTTGATGGCATTCTCGAATTACCCTTATGGAGGAGCGTGGAAAGGCCAAGTTTTTTCGTCGCGTTCCACTCGCCATCGGCCCGTGCTAGTGTCTCCCTTTCTTTATCCCTACCGTCGCACAATGTTTCCTCCTCCTCCTCCTCCTCCTTCATTTCACTCTCACTCTACCCTACCTCACTGGAACCTTCGTACGTCCCCGGTTAATGCCCCCACCACTCTCGCTCTCTTTCTCCCATTGCGTTGTGTTTATTTTGAACGCGAACAAGATAAGAGAGGGACTCCTCCTTCACTACGGTGTGTGTATCCCATGGGACAGTGTCGCCGGGATCGCCCCGATGGAAAGACCAAAAGAAAATGGAAACGAGGGAAAAAAGAGAAAAAAAAGTAAAACTGCTTACGCCGAACCTCATGCCCGGAAAAACACTCGGATCACTTTGATATTCCTATCTATTCTATTAAACATGAAAGTTTCGTGAAGTTGTTTTATATCGAAATACATCGAAACTACCGGATTGATAATCCTCAGTTCTGATTGGTCAATGAGTCACTTGAATTTGGTCGCTAAAAATATTTTCATGCACGAATGACATAAATTTAATTCTCTTCCATTTTTCGACTTGGATATTAATTCAAAATAAAATTCTAAATTTGAGAAAACCGCGGAGATGCGGTTTTTTAAATTTGAGACTAATTTAAAAAATTATTCAGATTTCTAGAGAATCCGAGAATTCTGTAGAAATTTTTTGAATCATTCCAGAAAATTGTTCACTCTTCTACAAAATTTATTCATAACACTTCCCTTATTAAAAAAATTACGGGTATTGACCGGGTCATTTTGAAAAGTGAAAGGGAATCGATCAAAAATTCAAAATCACTCATTAATTTTTCACTTATCGTTCATCTATAATTAATTTTTATAATGCATTTAATCCATAAGTATATGAAATTTGACACATTTGAAATTAAAAGGAAGGGAGCGCCTCACGAGTAAATGAGACCGCGCGCGCGCGTTCGTTCTATTGCTGAAAAGAGGCCTCGGGTTCAACTGCATGAGTTAACGAAAGTGAAGGAGAGAAAAATAAGGGGGAAAATGGAAAATAAGAAGACCCGGAGATCCCTGATAGTCCAAAAGGGGCCATTAGAGGATATTTCGGGGACTGGGAGAGATAACGAGAGGAGAATGGCTACTTATCTGCCATCTCCCTCTTTTTATCCTTCTTAATTTTCTCCTCTAATCTTTTTTCCTCTCGTTGTTTTTATCTACCGGCGGATGACGGTAAATGTTAACATTGCTATTGGTAAATAAAAAGGCGCGGGGGGANGGGGGGGGGGATGGGCACGGCGCCCCCAGAGATCGCATTCATATTATACACACTGCGGCGGCATTTACAGGATATCGCGGGAGATGTCCTCTTATGGTAGTGTCTTCGTACAAACGTGTCCCCCTCTCCCTGTTATGCGCCTTGAGGAATACTCTCTCGCGGGAGCTACCGCGTGTATGCTTGCAGGAAGAAAAAAGTATCAACTGCATTCGTGAATGTAATATACTTTTGAGAATTGCAATGCGAGCCTGCGAGTATCAGATTATATTGTTGTTTCTTTTATTGAACAAAAATACGGTGTTGAAAATTTTTGGCTGAAATTATCGATATATTTTTTGGAAAATCTGTCGCATTATTGTTTCTTGAAAATTTCAAGGAATTTCGTCACTGAACACTCAAATTATTCAATTCAATTAATGGAATAGTTCAATTATTCTGTGAAAATTAATAGAAATTAGAAAAATATATATATTATTGAATTTTTATTTGATTGAAAATTCAGTGTAATTTGAAGTTTTGTGATTTAAAAATAAAATGATTGTTTCATGAAATCATTACGTAATAATACTCAAAATAAAATCATTAATAAAATCAAACAATTAGAATTGTTTGGTGACAAAAATAAATTGAGTGATAATAATGTATATAATTTACAATAATAATTTTCGAACAATAAAAAAGCTATAAAATTCCCCACAGCACGAAGCCATTATTATTACCAATGGAAAAAAATTACCCCCATCACATAAAAACTGCATAATCCATAAAAAGTTGTCCTTCACACACATAAAAACGATGAATCACCCTAATGAAATCACTCATGATATACATTCCCGACAACATAATACACCCGAGTTGAACCATAAATTCCCACCATGCGATTGTACTCTATCATATCATAAATGAAATCAAAACGGTTTTAGATAGAAGAATTGTATCTAAA